TTGGTTATTGTTATAGGAACGGAATTGGAACACAAATCGATATGAAAAAAGCCAATTATTGGTTTCGAAAAGAAAAGCATTTTTTTTATGAAATTATCAAATCAAATAACGAAAATTCTAATATTGACAATAACACAAAATTTTTGTTGGATAATAATAAATACCAACTAATTTGGATTTCATATGAAGATTTTGGAGATATTAAAAAGATTGGGCAGGGTGGTTTTGCAAATGTATACGTAGCGAGTTGGACAAAAAAAGTTGAAACAGGTTTTATAACTTTGACTCTTGCACTTAAGGAATTTCATGACAACGATTATTTAAATGAGGTATTTTACTTTATTTTATTTTAATATACACTCTATATTTTTTTTTTAGTAACTTTTTTTTTAAAGTTAAAAGCGTATTGTGAAATCGGTTGAGAATCCTTCATTTTTAAAATGCTATGGTATTTCAATAAACAAGGAAGGAAAATATATTCTTGTTTTAAAATATGCAGTGATAGGCTCTTTACGCAAAAATCTTCGATCAATATTGCAAATGAAATGGAAGGACAAGTTAAATCTGTTACTTAGTATAACTTTTGATCTTAGAGCGATTCATTCTCAAGGCCTTATTCATCGGGATTTGCATAGTAGTAACATTTTACAAGACGATTTACGTAGCGCATACATTGCGGACTTGGGCCTTTCTATTCAACGTCTGAAATGGAAAGAAGGTGGGATTTGTGGGGTCTTGCCTTATATTGCACCAGAAGTTTTGCAAGAAGGCCAATATACTACAGCGTCTGATATCTACTCATTTGGCATGATAATGTGGGAAATTTTATATGGTAGATATGTATCTTATGCTCATAAATTAAGTGAGATCAATCTTCAATTGCAAATATGTGATAATTTACGACCGCCAGTCAATGAACAAGCTCCACAATGCTACGTGAATCTGATGAAACAATGTTGGGACAAGAAACCTGAAAATCGGCCATCCGCAGAAATTCTCTGTGAAGCTTTTAAAAAATGGCAAGACGACGAAAATGTTTTGTTAGAATTGAATGAATCCGAAATAAAACTTGAAAACATTGAAAAATTAGACGAAATTATACTTAGTGAAGGGAGCAAATTCATTTATTATACAAACTCAATTGTAGATAGCGGGTTACAAAAATTGGTACTTAATGATTAATTCATTTGATTAACAAACGATGAATAATATGGACGATGGATTATTTACAGTTTCCACGTAATTAATTAACAATTATCATTTTAATTCTTATTTTGTCTATTCGGGAATAGTTCATTTTTATGAATGGTAACATAAACCAACTTTCGTTATTGTTTGTTTTGTATAAGGCCTGTATTAAATTTTTTTTTACTATTACACTTTTCAAATGTTTTGAATATAATATGAACACTATATTTTTAAAACTAAAACTTTTTGGCTATAGCTAAAATATTAATAATGATTTTACTTGCTGGCATGTTCTAGTTTTTTTTTTTTTTTACCAAAATATTATTATATTTAACACCAATTTTTTTATAAAGAAACTATAAGTAACTATATTTTGAAATTATTAAAAATAATTGTGGCAGCTGAAGCTGAGATCATGGGGTCTCTATTTAACTCTATTAATAAAACTACCTCTAAACCTTAACCCAATTCTAAAAAAAAGCTAACAAAAAAGACCCCAAAATTTTTTAAAATTTAATATTAATATTTCAAAATCTCAGCTTCAGCCGATCTCAGTTTCAGCTGCCACAATAATTATATACTACGTATATTTTTAAAATTTAGCAATATTATTACAAATTTGTAATAAGATATAAGATTAGTTTTTCAAAAAAAAATACTTTTAGTTTGTAGATTTTTATTAATATTAGATATAGATTTGTTATTTTACAAAAATAAATTATATTTATACAAGTTAAAAATCATTATTTTTTAAAAATTATAAATCACACCTGCGGTGTTTAATGTTAGTTTTATGAAAATTTATGTAACATGTAGATCAAAATAATTTTTATTAAGGATAGAATGTACACAGATCATTTTTTATATAACCTAGATGGCATAATAGATTTTTATATAGTAAATTAAAATGGGTTACTAATAAATATTTTTTATTTTTTAATTAATTTTTATCAAATTTCAATAATATAAATTTAAATAAGTTATTTATTATATTAAAATTTTATAAAATGTTTAATTTAAAAAACTTATATTTGTAGATATCTTAAATTTTCTTTGAACATTATGTTTTTCTAATTACACAAAAGATTCAACTTTAATTGGTTAATTTTTGAAAAATTATAAGAGAATTTTAATAGTAAATTTTTATATCTAATCTTTAAAAATTTATATATTAATAAGTTTTAAACTAATTTTAATAATTTTACTATTATTAAAATTACAAAAACTTTATAACTTTATTTAAAAACTTAAAAATATTTAATTAGTAAAATTTGAAAATGAATATTTTCACATTTTGTTTTTGATATTTTTACACCTTCTGCTAAAATATATAAATTGGATTAGCTAATATAAAATTTATAAAATAATTTGTATTAAAACATAATTTTATAAGTTTATATTATTATATAAGTTCTGTATTAGTCAATTTAATTTGCATATTTTAGCAAAAAATATGAAAATATCAAAAATAAAATGTAAAAATATCAGTTCTCTAAAAATTTTTATAATTAAAATTATAAAAAAAATATATATTTTTAAGTTTATATATAATTTTAAAATATTATACCCTATTTGTAAACAAATTTTAAATTTAACTAATATTAGAGTTAGCATTAAAAGTTTGAAATAAAATAATTATAATAAAATATTTTTTGATAAAGCTTTTAAGATTATTTTATATATTAATATGGGCCAATAAATCAGGAATGACACTAAAAAACAAGAAGGAATATGACGAATTATCACTTTGAATTTGTTAATGTCACATAATGTTTTTCAAGACAGGTGAGGCAGATTAATTTGGCACTGATCTAGGGTGGCTTTGAGAACATTACCAGAGGAGTTTAAAGGAGTGTATTAGTTTTATTTAATTTAATTGTTTATTTAAATTTAACAACTAGCACTTTATTAATTATAAACTTTATTTATTTTATAAGGCAGGTTACAAGTTAAAAGGTAATTCAGTTTTTACAAGATGGTTCTATATGTTCTATGTTAAGAGAGTGGAAAATACTTTACTTGAGGGTGGAACTCTAATCATTTTATAGAACATTTTTTTGAAAAAAAAAAGAACTTAGGACATGGCTTTGACACTCTTTTTTTTATTGTTATAGACCATTTTTCCCTTTTTTACTAACACTCTTTCTTTTTTCCTACAATTCATTTGTTGTTACTTTAGCATTTTCTATAACACTTCCACAATAGCATACAACCTAATATATGATAATGCATTGATACAGCTACAGACTTTATCTGTCAAGATAATATTACCTTAACAGTTGGATTCCAAATTGGGCAGGTGGTTTTTTCTTCAATAAATCAGTACCATCACTTAATAGAGAGTTTGATTTGTCTTGGGTTGCAGGTATTGTGATATGATGATTTTCATAATGCAGATTGTGGGTTATTACACAACATTTCCTCAAGGTTCTAGGGTCAAATCTACTCATAACAATATAAAATTTTAAGTTACAAATATTTTTTAAAAAATAAACAAAAAATTATATTATATTTAATATTTACATTATATTGCATTTTATAACAAAAATTATAATAATGTTATATATTAGTAATTTTTTTTTTGAGTTAAAGTCCCTGTCTGTAGGAGTTAATGTTTTTATTCATGTATTTGGACATGGGTGCCTCCAGGGGCTCCCTTATATTGGAGGTTACAACTAGCTACATATGCATTTTTGGTGCCTAATTTAAGTAGTTCGCCTATACATTACTATACAGGTTCTACACTAGGTGCTATACCTGCAAGCCAACTATGGGTCTTGCCTATTTAAACCCTCTGCATATGTAGTCCACCATGTCTCACGAGGACATCTTCAAGGTTACACCTATCCAAAGTACCCAATGCCTTTAAGTACCCTTAGAACTAGTTTATCCTCGACAGAAAACTTACTAAAACCTTTCATGTCTCACATACAGCTGATCTAGTTTTATGCAACATGCTATAGTTATCTAACACTTGCAATTACAGGGGTTACCTGTTTAACCACTATGTTACATTATTTCTATCTTTGTAAAATTCACTAGAACCTCAGTACCTATCATTATGACATTTTTTTCATCATCCTTTACTAACTACTACTCAGGACCAACAGGACTTTCCTGACTTCCAATCCAGATAGCCCGGTATGCTATACTTATATATCTTTTTCCTTCGGTGATTTTGGCAGCCTAGTTGGTCATATGCTCCTCTACACATTTTGACATCTGGTTTATCTGCCTATCCCTTTGGGGTGTTTCATAGACTTCCATTGGTCTGACTATACTATCGAAAGTTCATACTACCTCTTTACTCAGGAATTTCCAAGTAGGCTTCCAACTCTTCGGTTCCTTAGTTTACTGCACTCCCAGTGGTCTTATCATGGGTTTGCACCGAAATCTTATGCGATACTGTTTATTAACATTCCTCTATATACATGTAATATTACACTTGGCATAAATGCACTGAGCTCTCATTCAAGATGGTGTGACTTAAGATTACAGATACACAAATCTAACTGATCGTCAAGAGACAATTTGTCATAACACAGGTTAATTTCCAAATTTCGTTATAAGTGGGATTTGAACTTTAGACCTGCCACTTGAAGGATGTCAACTCAACTACTACACTAGGATCGCCATCCTCTGTTATATATTAGTAATATAATTTAACAATATTATTATTTTTTAATAATAATTAAAATTTATTAAAATTTATATTTAATTAAAGCAATACTATTTGTATTTTTATTTTTATTATTTTTTTTTAATAGTTATAAAAAATAAATTCTATTATTTTAAAAGAATAAAGTTATTATTTATACAGTTAAATGTATTTTTTCTAAATGCATTATTATTTTAAATAAATAATATAAATCTGGGCTTATAATGAAACTTATAGATAAATGCATGTTTTTTATTTTGTAAGTGCATGCTAATTGTCTAATTTACTTATAAAAACTCTTTTTTTTTAAATCTTAAACAGCTATATTAGTATTTATTAAGATTGTTGAAACTATATATATACAATTACATAGAATTTCTTAATATTTAAATCTAGTATTACTTGGTTACTCTTATGGTACCTAAGTGCAATCTGTTGCATTATCTTTATTAGAAATAGTTTGCTTGTCTAACTATTTAAAGCTATATCAGAAGGGTTTTTTCCTTTTAGTAACGAGTATATTAATTGTCTTTTATATTTTTTTTTTAATTCAATTTATTTTTTATATTTTTTTTTCTTTTTTTTTTTCTTTGCTTGTTTATCTTTTCTTGTTTATCTTTTCTTTAACTTTTCTTTTGCACAAAAACATTTTTATATTTTGTTTATTATGTTGGTCTTCTTTTTTTATTTTATTACTTTTTTACATTATAGTTTTCATACTTAGTTTTTTTTTTTTTTTTAAGTAAAGTCTATTCTCTAGTCCTTTATTTCAGTAATATAGAATTAAGTACAACTAGTCTAAATTAATACATTAAACTAAGGAAGTAGGAGTTAGGACTAATTTATCTGCAATCTATTCTTAGCTAAAATGGTTAAAAGACCTCTAGTTTATAAGTTTAATAAGAGAGAATGTTTGGTTTAAATGTATGAATCTATTGAATCATAAAGTATATTGTCTATTTATTAATGTTAGTAAAGTATAGTTTAGGTTAATATTAGTAATAGTTAGTAAAGATAAAATACATTGTTAAACATATATTCTACTTGGTTTCTATATATGTTTATATATCTTTTTTGTAATTTAGTAATAAATGTCTAGTAATAAGTTCTTTTTTAGTAATCTGAGTTTAAGTAAGTTATTTGTTATAATTTCAATTAGAATTTGTTGTTTTATATAGATGTTTTAAATTTTTTAAGCTAGGTTTGTTAATATAGTTATTTCAATTTTATTGTCTTTAACAACCTTCATGACCTACTTGATAATATGGCTGACCAAGCTTTACAAAATGCAACTACTACTATTAATAACTTAGCTACTGCTTTAGAATGTAGAAATAAACAAGTTTTAATAACTGTAGAACCTTTCCAAAATGATATTACTCAAGACCTACTTATTTGGCTTTAAGAATTTTAAAAAGCTAGTACAACAAACTGTTGAAATGCTGCCTGTCAATTAGAACTTGCTCCTGTATATATAAAAGGCATTGCTCTAGACTAGTACTGTAGTCTGAACCCTTAGTCTAATGTTTACAGTAATGATGCTAATCCAAATCGAAGTTTTAAGCACCTATTCAAAGCTCAATTTAGCACTTCTAAACAGAAAGCAGTTTGGCAAAAACAATTATTTAACATTAAACAAGGAACAGACAGTGTTGATGCTTATATAAATAAGTTTAGATCTCTATGAAAGAAAGTAGACTCTGCTATAGCCTTTTCTGCTACTTTCATTATTCAACTCTTTATTCAAGGATTATGACCAGAATATGCTATCAATGTTCAAGCATCTGAACCAGCAGACCTAGATGCTGCTATTACTGCTGCTTGACGATAGAAAACTAGAAAGCTTATAGTCACTGCTATATCTTCAAAAACAGACCAAGCTATTAAGCAATTAACTGACCAAATTGCTCAACTTAGTATTAACCTAACTTAGCAACAACAACTTGCTTTTACCACTTCTGTAAACTATGCTAAAGCCCTTATCCAAGCACCTCGACTTAAACAACCATCTACTTGTTTTTATTGTAGATATATTGGATATTTTATTTCTAATTGTATTACTAAAAAGAGAGATAGAGAATGAAGACAAGGCTCTTATAACCAAAGATCTACTAGAGATAATTGATGTAATTATTCTTAATTCAGAAGTTGAGATTATTCTCAAAATAGATGCCAATCCTGTAAACAAAACTATCATTCATCAAATTATCAAAGAAATAGAAGCTCTGAATGCTCTAGATACCTCTCTAACTGATCTTCTTCTCTATATTATCATGATGTTTACTATCTTGATCAGAATCAGACATCCTCTTTTTCAATTAGTTTGCAAAAATAGAAAACCTTGTTAGCCAACCTTTCTATCTGCACTGCACTTTCTGTACATTTAAGTGAAGAAGCTAAGAATGCCAATATCATTATACTCTCCATCTACATACACCTGTTAAATGCAATATCCAACTTAGAAACAGACCTTATCAAGCTATTATTGACAGTGGTGCTTCTGTAAGCATGATTGCTTACAAAGTAGTTAAGGAATTAAAATTAAAAATCGAACAAGCCTTCTCTAGTCTTATTATGTTAGCTACTAGTAATTCTACTAGACCTTTAGGAGTCATTCGAGATCTACTTATCACTATAGACCAAATTACTATTCCTGTTACTGTTGAAGTAGTAGATATTACTTCATATTCTATTCTTTTTGGCAATAACTGGTTCAAGAAAGTTGAAGTTAGTTATAACTGGAAAAGTGAATACTATTCCTTTAAGTGAAAAAGTAAAAAGCATGCTATTCCTACTACCTATGAGAATGACCAACCACTTCCAGCTCAATCTATTGTTACTAATTCTGATAAGCTTAAGCTTTATGAGCAGGAATATCTTACACCTTTGGAAGCATATGCTCTTGATGCTGAATCTACTGAACTAACCTTTAGCAATAGTTCAGAAAATGGACTGTTTACCAACCCAAGCATAAAACCAGACAATCTAAAGCATGTGTGTATGGAAACTGTAGATCACTAAATCATCTTTTTGCACAATGTTCTACTAATCTTTGTAATCATTGTCAACAACCTGGACATATTGCCACTTACTGTCCTCAACAACCACCAAAAAGAGCTAGCTGTCGCACTTGCAATCAATCTGATCATCTTTATAAAGCCTGTCCACAAAATATTTGTAACTCATACAACAGTTATAGACATATTAGTATTTATTGTCTTTTGGCTAATCTCCAGAAGCAAAACCATTCATATAAGTGTGACTGTAACTCTGAAATAGTAGAATCCCAAAGACTATCTCATTATAGTTATAGATGTACTTACCACTGCTGCCAATTCTATATCTCAGAAAGACCTGAATTCCTAAGAGCTCTTAACAATCAACTCTTCTGTCATGCTTGTTATTTTGACTTCTACTATGCTCTTGATCGAGAAGATCCTCAAAGTATTCAGTTTTATACACAAGGGAAAGGTCATAGACTACTTGTAGAATGTAAAGTATGCCAAAAAGCAGAACTGCATTCTCGAATGTACCAACTAGAAAGCCTTAGTAAAAAACTTTGGTTTTGTGAGCTTAAACACTTATATGCTTATAAAGCTAGCCAGGATGTTCTTTATAATCCTAACTACAACTTATAGACAAGAATCAGACATTACACAGAATCTAACTGAAGTGCCAGATCTCAATATAACTTAAACCAGACTCATATATATCACCTTGCTGCTGTTCTTCTTTGGAAAAGTGACCAGACTATTATTGAAGCTTTTGAACCTTGAGTTGGTGATCATTTCAGCCAATCCTAATCTAATGATAACATGGAACTAGTATTACAAGAAGAACAAGAAACCCTTAAAGAGAATGATGAACTTCTTCTTTAACAAATATTAGATGAGTTTTTTGATACTAGCCATTCTGAATATAATCGATAATTTGCTTTTGCTACCTTATGTTACAATTTTAGTGCTCCTGTTGACCTTTGTAAAGAATGCTTACATGTTAAGCATCAAGAAGAATTAGACCAACATAAAGGATACTGTAGTGATTGTAATACTGCATTAGCATATTCACTAAACACTGAACTTACTTCAGAACCAGATCCAATTTATATTGAACCTCTTACTAAGATGCAACTTCTGTTGGATCAACAAGCTCAACTTATTTAACAATTGCAGATACAGGTTCAATTTTTGCAAAACACTAATATGCAAATTCTATAATTCTTTCAAAACCATTTTCAACATATAAGGCAACAAGAAAATGTTCTTGAAACTCTTTTGATACCTTAAAATTTTTAGAGAATTCTAGGCAAGATAAAAAACTACCTGATGACCCAAACAAGCCTGAGACAAATCCTAGCAACCTTATACTTCAAATAGTGTGTTTTATTGAGACCTGTATTCTCTATAAAGAATACATTTTGATCTCTGAAACAGCTATAAATATTGGATCCTTACAACCAGAACAAGGGCAAAATTTAGAAAATTACTAGAAGAATTTTCAGACCTTTTTGCATCAGATATAACTAAATTGGGCCATACTAATTTGGTTACTCATAAAATCTATACTAGAGAAGTTCCTTCTATTCGATCATACTCTTATTCAATACTACTTACAGAACAGACATTTATAAAAGAAGAAATACAATGAATGCTTAATAACAAATTTATCAAACCTTCTAGTAGCCTCTGAACTTCTTCTGTTGTATTAGTACAAAAAAAGAATGGAAAATTACATTTCTGTGTAGACTACAGAAAACTTAATGCTATTATGAAGAAGGATGCATATTCTTTACCTCGAATAGATAAAATGCTAAATGCACTTGCTGGATCAATATGGTTCTCTACCCTAGATCTTGCAATAGATATTGACAAGTTGATATGGATCCTAAAAACCAAGAAAAAACTGCTTTTATTACTCGATATGGTATTTATAAATTTAATGTAATGTCTTTTGAACTTTGCAATGCTTCAGCAACCTTTTAAAGATTAATAGACTAAGTTTATGATAGAATTGCATGGAAATTTGTAGTGGTATATTTAGATAACACTATTGTCTACTTAAGAACATTTGATAAGCATTTTGAACATTTATGAAAAGTCTTTACCAGAATTCAAAAAGTCAGATTATGTCTTAATATTTAGAAATGTAATTTTTGGATGCAGAGCCTACTCTTCTTAGGCCATATTATATCTGAAAATGAAATTGCTCCAGACTCTCAGAAAATAGAAGCTATTCACAATATACAATCTCCTAAAAATGTAATCCAACTTAGATCTTTCCTAGAACTTGCTGGATATTATAGACAATTTATTCAAAACTTTTTAAGCATAGCCAGCCCTCTCTATTATTTAATGAAAAAGGATACTGCATATGAATGATGCTCTGAACAACAAAAAACCTTTGATGAATTAAAAAGAAGACTAACTATTGCTCTTATCTTAGCTTATTCTAATTTCAAGTACTCTTTCATATTAGCAACTGATGCTTCTTATTATAGCTTCAGTACTACACTTAGCCAAATAGAAAAAGATAGAAGAAAACATCCAATTGCTTATGCAAGTAAAAGCCTTCGAAAAGAAGAAATGAACTATGATGCTACTGAATTAGAATATGCTGCCATAGTTTGGGCAATCAAACATTTTCATAAATATCTAGAAACTGCAAAGTTTATTCTTATTACTAACCATTATGCTCTTAAATGTTTAAAAACAGCTGAATCTAAAAGATAAATTGAAAGATGGATACTTAAATTATAACCTTATAAATTTGAAATTATTCATAAATCAGGCCGAGTTCATTCCAATGTAGATGCATTCTTAAGGCTGCTAACTTAGACACTACCCATACTATTTCAATAAATTTAGATCAATATGTTAACTTATATAACTATTTAGAATCAGACATATTGCCTGAAGAATTAACAGATATAAAAGAAAAACAACTAATTAGACAAGTCAGACATTTTTAAACAAAGCATGGACTACTATATAAAAAGAACAGAAAAGACCCTACTCATCCTCTTAGAGTTATTAAATAGACTAAAGTAGAACCTATCCTATATATGATGCATAAACATTCTACTGTTAAACACTTAGAAACAGATGCCATGTATTATAAGATTGCTAAATAATATTATTGGGACCAAATGTATAAAGATGTGCAAGAATATGTTTGAACTTGTACAGAATGTCAACAACACCAAAAAGGATGAAGAAAGGAACCTCTCCATCCTATTTAAATAGAACAAGCCTTTGAATAAATTGATATTGATTTAGTAGAATCTCTTTCTCTTACTAAACAAAATAATCACTATATAATTGTTGCTACTAAATACCTAAGATGATAACCAGAAGCCTGAGCTGTGCCTGATGCTGGTGCTGCTACACTAGCATAATTTATTTTTGAAAAAATAGTTTGTAGTCATGAAACTCCAAAAATTATCTTATCTGATCAAGGATGAAACTTCATTAGTGAAACTATCCGTATATTATGCGAAAGGTTTCTAATCAAATATAAATTCTCATTACCATACTATCTACAAACAAATAACATGATTGAAAGATTTTACTGAACACTCTGTGAATCACTTGCTAAAGTGAAAGGAACAGATGATTGAGACATTCATATTTCTGCTATATTATTAGCATATTGAACAAAGAAATATGCTACTACTAGATATATTTCATTTCAACTTATTTATGGTTGACAAGCTACATTGCCAATTGAAGCTTTAATACCTGTTGAACTATTATTAGAAAGTAGTGAATATATTAACTTACAAGACAATATTCTATATAGAGCTTATGAGCTAATAGACAAATTGCTCCAATTGCAAGAAAATGCAAGAAACAATACTAATAAGTTACAACAGAAACAGAAACAATACTTCAATGCAAAAGCTAAAGTACAAGAATTTGAAGTAGATGACAAAGTATGGATCTAACAAAAGGAACTAAAAATGTCAAGATCAGCAAAATTTGAGAATAAATGACTAGGACCATTCATAATTCATAAGAAATTGGGAAATGGCACTTATAAGTTACAAAATAAAAAAGAAAAAATCTTACAAAACTATTACAATAGTGATCGATTAGCAAAATATTATGAGAAACAGACTTGGAAACCAATAGTTGTTGTTAAAACTTAGCAAATTTCTAAAAGAAATTTAATTTGGAAGGGAGTAATATAATGAAAAACATTTTGAAAATCTCATATTACTTTAAAATATATATATAGACAACCTAATCATGCAAATTTTTCTAAATTAACAATTTGGCTATTTAAAAATAAATACTATTATTCTGCA